GAATAAATAATATAATGCACATAATGCACGAATGTGAGAATATTAATTTATAAGGTAAAATATGGAATTAATTTTACATTGCTTTGTAATAATTAAATGAATATTAAATACATCGAAAAGGTGCAGAAAACATTTTATTATTTAAATAGAATCTATATCTTTCTCTTTCAATTTATGCATTTTATATCGTATACGTATATCAAAATTATCAGCCTCCTTTCTAAAGTTTAGATAAACAGGATTTTATTGATTATCATTATATAGTGATTGCATCAATAACTGCTAAATGTAAAGTACAAAATATATCGAGCAGAACACTATGTGCAAAAGATTTTCACTCGAATGCGACTTAATTCATAAAAAAGATATTAAGATAAAAGAAAATAATATGCTTTTCATAAAAAATATGTCTTGAGATACGTATTTCACTTTCTCGAATGATCAGGAATGCTTTTAGTTTTATTGATGACTTGATAAACTTACGACCGAACAATTTCACTTTAAACGACGTTCAACAGCGTTACAGTTGAATCGGATAATTGCATTACCAACAACTCTCCCTAATGCATCTTTACGAGCAGACGAAGATGGAAACATAACGGAATTACGGGAAGATGTGTCAAATAATAGAAAGAGTTAGTGTGTCAAATTATTACTTGTGACAAGTACGAACATGGTTGTCACTTGTAAAGTTGGGAAGTAATATCCGCCTAGCGTGTTGCGATAATGACTACTTTTTTCAATATGGATTAGATAACATAATGTCATTACAGATCTAGGTAGTGCAATTTTGTTATCTAATGTGCATTAGATAAAGTATAACATCTAGAAGCAATGCAAAAATTTTATATATTCCAATACATTTGCTTACGTTGTTATAATTGTACGGTATATTACTAATTATCGTAGTGCAAAAAAGACTTTATTCATGTAACATCTTATATATGTTACAGGTAAGATTATACTCGAAAAAAATATCTCAACATAGATTGATTTGGAAGTTAATAACCATGCTTTAATGTTCATATTTTTTTCATCTTTAACTACTATCTTTGACTAGTTTGTGGTATGTAAAGGAAATGCTAGAACTGTCATTATTACCACAGGAAATGCAACCGTTTTCTCTAGTTTGTATAGTATACATAGTATACATTCGATAATACATTTCCGTAGAAAAATAGTCGGTGGATTTTCAAATCCCACCTTATTTAATCATCTTAAATCTAAATCAGGCGTCCAAAAATCAGTTCTGCGTAAATTCATATTATTCATTATTTAATTTTTATGTATTATTATTCTATAATAACTTTTAATTTAAAAAATTATTTGTCAATTGCTAGCAATTTAAAAAAAAAACGTAACTGCGTATGAAAAATTTTTAAAACTTTTCAATATATAAAAAAATTTTAAAAGTATAAATATTGTATTTTATTATTTAAAAATTATTCAATTTTTCATAGCTCTCTCTCTCTCTCT